ATATATAATATATATAATACACAATATTCTTTCTATAATGTTATTTCGTTTCCAACGCATGTAAAAAGATTTTTTAAAAAGATTTTTCTCTTATCTAAAATGCGTTGAAGAAAAGTATGTAATTATTAATTTTAAAAATTATAAAATTATTTTGAAAATGAAAATGTTGAGAAAATATGATGAGGAATAATAAGAAGAGAATAGATACGACAAAAGAGAATCGACAAGATTCTTAAGGACAACGGCGCGTTAACCGGTAATAAGCGATCCCGATCGCGTTATATATGAAAAGTATGAGCGCATTGCATCGTTAACGGCGCGAATGTTGCAATTCAGCGAGACAGTTGTAGATCGATGTAGGGACAGTAAATTAGATCGGGCAAAAGAACATTACCTAACTGTAGCACGAGCGCTCATCTTCGGACACAACAACACAGGCCTCCACAACACTTTCACAGATCAAATAGAGAAGTGGTGAAACTTCTCGATTATATACCGGTACATCGAATCGTCGGTATATGTATATCGCGTTTGCTCACTCAGAGAAAGCACGCTCTGATTCATCGGAATAAATGGCCACAGTTTAGAACGGATCGCATCCCATTATAACATGCCGTCTATCCACCGATAAACTATCACTCTCGTTTCGATCGATCGTGATAGCTTGATAACGTATTTTGAATTGCTAAATTTGTAAACGTGCGATCCGTCCTTTTAGACTATCATGCCGCGCCACGGATATGTTTCTCTATTTGTTGCATAACCGATCATTCAAGTTGCATAAATAACAGGAACAGGGGTTGAATTATTCGCGAACGACACGAATGTTTCGCGTTACGATGTACCAGTGTACGTGGAAATGTATATCTTAGTTTTTTCCATCTCTGAATTTTAACAAATTATCGAGTGAGAACATTTTTGGAACATTTTGTTAACGAGATCGCAATAATTTTTGATCAAATGAAATTAATCTTGCGAAATCGTAAGAGAAAGATATCGAGATAATTACTTAGTTATCGGAATCTCCTCAATTGTGATATATCATATATTTCGATATATATACGATATATTATCGTATATCGTATATCTCTTCCCATCCGTATACATATATCTGTATTTCTTCGATGTATTTCTTTATCCCTTACTTCTTCCTTCTCTCGTTATCTTTCATTCGTTACCATTCCTATTTCACACTCCCCTCATTTCAATATTTCTCAATTGACAATTAATCATCGTTATTTTTTTTATCCATGAATAATATCTTGCATATATAGGATACATAGAGGAATACATAGAGATGTAAATATAATAATTTTGAGTGAGTGAAAATTTTGAGACAAGATGAAAAAACACCGGTGAAATAAGATCCTCGTATAAAAGTAAAAGCGAAGAAAAAAATTAACTAGGATATGATTTAATAATCACGACGGGATATAACTCGTTAACGTTCGTAACATCGTAAGTAAGAAGAAAGAAGAATCGGGCGGCATACGTAGCGTAGCGAGCAATTGCTTTGCGTAATGCTTATCTCCGAAACTAATTTGCCATCTTTCTTCGTTGATGCGCTACCACTTGTCCACTGGATAATCATCGAAAAAAATTATTAAGCAAGTTTCTCAAGTTTATTAATTCAACCATTCGTCGCTTCGTTTATCTTTGTTCGCGTTTATTTATTTATTATTTTTTTTTTTTTAATTTCGAAATAAGGCACGATAAGTAACACGATAAGATGGAACGCGTTCATAATACGTTTTTAACGAGAAATCGTATTAATCGTATCGATTCCATTCGATCACGAGAAGATAAGTGTCTTTGTGATCTTATTCTTATCGTTTGATCGAATTCCGTGAGTAAATTTCGAACGATGCGATCTATCAACGCCAGCATGGCATCCGTTTTATCAAATGTAAAAACAGTTGGCCTCCTCCCCCCTCGCCCCCTCCCCCGATCATTTATTAAATAAGTGAACAGTCGGTTGGCACCGTCGTTGGTTGCGCGATGCGATTTATGCACGAACAGAGAGGATTCCTCCGAGTAACGGCCGAAACCGTGGCCGATGTAGCTATAATAAAACGGACACGGCCGTGATACAATCGAAACTGTTTTAAACCGATTAAGACGAATTTCAGGATTCGCCAACACCATAAATCCTCCGATCGTAAAAATCTTAGATACCCGACGCGCTATCTTACTCGTGTACGATGAGGTGCTGATACAATAAACCCGTGACGCAATCTTGCATAATGTATCCCTATCTTAACCAACATCCCACGTTGCCACCACCTGTATTCAGCACGAGTTCACCGATTGCACAAACTTTCTGCATCCAGGATATGAGCGTGTGTACACGTTGGACAGTTGAATTCGTATATTCGCGTCCCCTGCTAATTTCAATTCCATATAATTTTATTTACATTACCTGAATAATTAAACCGATCAAGCCTTGATTTAATTTTTTTCAATGGATCATACACCTCGATCGTAAATCGAGATTAGAGATCTTTCAATCACAAGAATCGGAAGCACAAGTCTCGAAGGATTTATTTCCGATCATTTATTTGTAAAATTTTCATATTTCAACATTCAAATTTCATTTTTTTCATATATCCTTCTTCTATGCATGGATGTAATATGGAAGTTTATCCCTTTTTTATTTCTATTTTTTTATAATAACGATTCTTGTAATATAATTTCTTATAAATATGAAACTGAATTAAAAATACGATAATTTTACGTATTCGATTAAAATTCGATTAAAATCGATTTTGGATGATTAAATTGCTGAAAACTGATTCGTACAATTTGATCGATATCGATACAATATCGTGTTGAATCATTTTCATTTGTGCGGCCATAAGTGTATGGTAAAAGATACGATTAAGATGCATGAATTCGATCGGTCGATCAGAATTCGCGTATGTGCATTTTAAGCAGCGATGTTCTTAACCCCTTCGTGTTTCAATGACGTGCACTTTATAAAAACGCATGGGAAAGTCTCGGTGACTGAAAGCACGACGCGTCGCGTCGCTTCGTTGCCTTAACCGCATGGGACATAATAGGTTTAATTGCCATCTCTCCTTTTCAAGTTTTCCCTACGCGATGAATTACGCGATCTAACTTTTTATACAATCTTTCGTTATATATAGATATTCGTGAACATAGATGGATTCTTCTTTCTTTTTTTCCTCGTTTCTTCTTCTCGTTTCGATCGTGAAAAAAATGACCTAAAGATCTTCGTCAAACCCATTTGTGAAAACGAAGAAACAAACTTGAACAATATGTAACGTAATCGTGTATAAATTTTACACGATTGAACATCCAACATGCGAATAAAATCTATTACTCGTTTATTGAATTCTCTCCACATTTTTTCAGAACGATTACGACTCGAAGCGAAAAATTTAATAAAATTGATTTTTCCCTTTATCGGTTGTTATATTTGTCACGATTAATTTTATCTTTCGCGATCTAAATGCTCGATCGAGCGGTAAGAGTAATAGCTCATCGGTGTAAAAAGAAAAAAAAGAAAAAAAAGAAGAAGAAGAAAAAAAAGAAACGATGCGAACATAAAGCGAACGTTAATGGACCAACCCGTTATGGCAATCCGTTATTGCGAAATCGAAAGTAGGAGGAAAGTGTATTATTACGCGATGTAAAAATTGGTCTGTATCAAACCCATCGGGCGTTACTTATCTATCTATCGATTGCGAAATTAGATTGATGATCGCGAAGAACGCGACGCATCCTTTCGGATACCCGAAGGAGAGATTGACAAAACTCTTTCCCGAAATTCTCGACTCCCGATATTCGTGTTTCGTCATCGATTAAATTCCCATTTTATCCTCGAGGCAAAAATATAAGTCAAAAAACCGACTTTTTGACTCATCAACGACGAATCACGAGAGATTCGTAACGATTTATAATTATATCGTTTAAGCGGATCGTTCGGTTCGTTTTTTCAATCTTTCCGAATACTTATTGCGATATATTGATCGCTGGATAATATCATCATATATGTAACGAGTATATAAATAAGAAGATGTTTCGTTACATGTTGCATAATCGAAACGCAATTTATACGCGAGGACGCGGTTGCACCCCAACTTCGATACCTCAGCTTCGCGCTTGGACGCTTAAAAAAGATTCGAATTTACCGGATAATTAATCAGCGAGCAAAACCGTCCGATCAATCATCGTTCCTTACCACGCGTTAAACAACGCGTTCTGCCTCTTAATTAGATAGTTACCTTCGTAATTAGTACACTCGCTCGCTTAACCATTGCTTAATGTCTCATTCGCCGGGTTGTTGTTCAATGGAAGAATCGGCAAAGCGTCGAACAATTTCGTGAAAGTTTCGAAATTCGAATATGGTAGAGGAGAGGTATTAATCAAGCCGGTTAACGAAGACGAGCGGTCCGAATTGGCATCCTTAGAAGGTTCGTATCCTTGCCAAGTCCTGCATCCTTGTTCGTTCCCGCTCTCGCGATCCGACGCGAGAGAGGATCGAGCATGAGAGGAGCGATGATGCTCCGAGTTAATGATGCGCCGCATTGCGTTACGATATAGGATTCGTAACCCGTGAAATATGGAACGAATCCATGGCTCTAGGTGGCTGCTAGTGCGGTCCCACTCTTCTTCTTCTTCGCTCACCATCACTACCGTCACCGACTGATTCAACACCACCGTGTGACACAGTTACACCGGTGCCTTGCTGTAAATCCCATACCTACGGCTTATACCAAACCGTGATCTAGAAACACGGATGAATCCTGGGATATATAAAGCGGATTAGAACCAAACTTTGTCATTCTCTCGACACCATCCAAGGAAGGTGGAAGGTGTGCATAGCCAGAAAAGATAGAATCCGAAAGGTTTGCGGTGGTGAAGCACCTCGCGTGATCCAGAGACTCACCTTCTCAAGGATAAACGAGGGAAAAAGTCGGTGATCAAGATTTATTGTTGTACGGAAAGACACACCGATTCATTCGCCATGTATAAGGTGAGAAAACTTGCATCCAGAGAGATAGGAGGGAAATTATATCTGTTGCAACTGATATAAGCATCGAGAAGAGTAGAAAGAAGCGCGTAGCGAGGATTGTTTCGTACATCGTGGAATGCTATTCTGCGTCGTCAATGTTGCTCAACGCGAGAGATATTACTCCTTTCATTCTAAATTCGACATTGTCCGGAAATACCGGAGAAATTTTATCTATCGTATCGTAGCGTTCTAAGAGAAACGATTAAATGATATTCCGTTTCGAAATGTCTTCCGATATAAAAATTCTTTCGTTTAATCTTCTCCGATTTCCAAAATAATCCTTTCTCGATTCCAATTTTTCTTTTTTTCTTTCTATCTATCTAATCGCGTGAGATAACCAATTTTTAATCGAGCGAGCAATCAAATCATCCATTCAAATTTCGTTCGTGTTTGCAGATTGGATTAGCGGTATTCGTTTTAGCCCTCACTTTGGTACGTTCCGAACCACCGGTCAACTCGTATCTGCCACCTAGCGGTGGTGGTCCCGGGAATGGTAATGGCGGAGGAGGCGGAGGACCGTCCAACGCATACGGACCACCTGGTTTCGACGGGCAGAACGGGATCGGAGGAGGCGATAATGGTCGAAACGGTCTATCCAATAGTTACGGAGTACCTACTGGTGGAAATGGTTACAACGGCGATGGTTCTGGTAATGGAAGACCTGGCTCGAACGGTGGAAGAAATGGGAATGGTAGAGGAAATGGTTTCGGTGGTGGTCAACCTTCCAATTCTTATGGGCCACCGTCGAATGGACTCGGTGGAAATGGAGGTCCGGGAGCGGGAAGACCGTCCAGCAGCTATGGAGCACCTGGTGGAGGAAATGGATTCGCTGGTGGAAGCAACGGGAAAAATGGATTCGGTGGCGGTGGTCCATCGAGCAGCTACGGTCCTCCGGAAAATGGAAATGGTTTTAATGGTGGAAATGGAAGTCCGTCCGGCCTCTATGGACCACCAGGAAGAAACGGTGGAAACGGTGGAAATGGTGGAAATGGAGGACGACCATCGGGAAGCTATGGTACGCCTGAAAGAACGGAGGAAGACCTGGGGGACTTTATGGAGCACCGGGCAGAAACGGGAATAATGGTGGTAATGGTGGATATCCTAATGGAGGATTAAACGGTGGCAATGGTGGATATCCTTCGGGAGGACCGGGTGGAAATGGTGGTGGTAACGGTGGTTATCCTTCTGGAGGCTCAAATGGAGACAATGGTGGTTATCCATCCGGTGGTAATGGTGACGGTAATGGAGCAGGTTATGGACAAGATGAAAATAATGTGAGTCCCTATTCTCAATGATTATAATATATATCATGATAAGTCGTTTTCAATATTATCTTCGATTTCTAACAAAAGTTATAATATAAGCGAAAAATAACGATTCTCTTTGTTTTTTATCATCTTTATATGTTTTATTCTTATTTTTATATTTTTCAATATCAATTTAGGAGCCTGCGAAATACGAATTCTCTTATGAAGTGAAAGACGAGCAATCTGGAGCTGATTATGGCCATACAGAAAGCAGAGATGGAGATCGTGCACAGGGAGAGTTCAATGTTCTGCTTCCCGATGGTAGAAAACAAATCGTCGAATACGAAGCTGATCAAGATGGATTTAAACCTCAAATTAGATACGAAGGTGAAGCAAATTCTCAAGGATATGGATCTGGAGGACCAGGAGGTAATGGTGGAGATAATGGATATCCAACTGGTGGACCAGGAGGTAATGGTTATTCATCGGGAAGGCCAAACGGCGGATCTGACTTTAGTGATGGTATATCTATGATGCGATATCTATTTTTTAATTAATCGTCAATTAAAATGCTCGTTGTTAAAAATATTCATTTATTTAATCATATTACCCGATTCTCATTCACGAACAAACAATTTAAATTATATCTGTAAAAATTCTGACTATCTGACCATCTTCGATGTTAATTAATTTATATCTAAATAGAATATCTATAGAATCTATATCACGATTGTAATATAAACTTTTCCAATATCTTGTTATATTATTTTATTTTCACGTATACATATGTATCTTTTATTCTCCATCTTCATTCTCTATCAGCAACAGTATCAATATTTATATAAATATAATAGATATAATTTCATTTCACAGGAGGATATCCATCCACAAGACCAAGTGGCGAGAATGGTGGATACAGAAACGGAAACAATGGTGGCAATGGTAATGGAGGATATCCATCTGGAAATGGTGGCGATGTCGCAGCTAATGGAGGATACCAATATTAAATATTTATCTAGGTGTAACAACATATATTGCGCGTATTACAAGAAGGGAATACATGGGGCAACGTTTATTATAACGCACAGGATAGTTTCTGTCTGGAACGGTAGAAACAGTTGTATTGGGAACGATAATTATTTTAGGCGAATCGAATTTTTACGTCGATGTCTAATGTATTTGATCGTTTTAGGATATTTTCAATTAAACGACGATAGAAATAAAAAAAATCATCATTCGTTTAACGTTGAAAACGAATATTGCAATGCTTCGTTTGTTTCAGACGTAGTATCTTTCCTAGTATAAAATTATTCGTATGATATACATAAAGACCTCGAAGTTAATGCTTTTACAATTAAAAATAAACGATATTATTAGATATTATTTACATACAATTTCGCAATATATACATTTATAATGGAATATATGTAAATGGTAATAATACTAATAAGACCGTTTATTCGATTTAGCAAATACAAATTTTTTTCTTTTTCTTTTTTTTTTCTTTCAATATATATGATAAAACTCGTAAATTAATTTATTAGCATTATGTTAACATTTGCAATTTAATTATAATATTTCTGTTTTTCGAAAGAATATTCGAAATAAGCATTTGTCCTTGAATATTCCATGATTTATCTATAACTTTATAACCGTTACCAGATATATGCTAATCTTTAATGTTTGTTAAGATATATTTTATATTTATTACTATTTATCATACTATATGTATATTTAGCAATGTTTAAAATGTAGCTGTAGTAAGAAACGTCCGCATAAATAAAAATTGCGGTAGGCCATAATGTGTTCAGTCTTTTACTTATACCTTTCACGCTATGTAAACGTAAAATTTATAATATAACTATACGATTATTAATTTTAAATATCTGAATACTTATAAAATTATTAATATATGCGAATTAACTAATAATATTAATAATATTATTATATTAATCGCTTATTTGTAATATAATTGCCATATTGATAAAGATTCTTATTCATTTCCTTTCATTTCCTTTCAAAAATATGTGTAAGTACACGTATAATAAATCAAATGCTTATTTCGATCCGTTTTTCGATTATTTTTATTGCATCAGTACTTATATATTATTTTTCTATTACTATTATATATATATATATATATATATATATATATATATTATTAT